TTTTAATTTTTTTTAATGTTTATTTTTGAGAGAGAGACAGACAGACAGAGTGTGAACAGGGGAGGGGCAGAGAGAGAGGGAGACACAGAATCCGAAGCAGGCTCAGGCTCCCAGCTGTCAGCACAGAGCCTGATGCGGGGCTCAAACCCACAAACTGTGAGATCATGACCTGAGCTGAAGTTGAACGCTTAACCAACAGCCACTCAGGCGCCCCGGTAGTGGCCACCTTTCTAAATGAATTACAGGTAACAAGGGGACAAGTGGTTGCCTGAAACACCTCGTTCTCGAAACAAAGGTTTTGTGCCTAAGAACCACCCTAATGAGACATTTTTAATAGCTTTATTGAGATGTAATTTATATACTATAAAATCCACCTGTGGCGCGAGTATAGTTGGATGAATTTTAGTAAATTTAAGCAGTTATGCGGCTATCATCTCAGTCCAAATCTAGAACATTTTCATCCTAAAAATCTCCCTTGTGCCCATTGAACCACTCCCTTCTCCCACCCCCAGCCCCAGAGAAATACTGATCTGCTTTTTGTCCTCATAGTTTTGCCTTTCAGAAATTTCATGTAAGTGACTTGTACAAGTGTTTTTTTGTGTCTGACTTCTTTCACTTTTGAGGTTCATCCGCCTGTACCAGGCGCTGAAAGGTTGTTGCTTTTCATTGCTAAGCAGCATTGCATCGTATGGATGTGCCTTCCAGGTTTTGTGTATCCATCCCCCAGGCAACGGATATTTGGATTATGTCCAGTTTGGGGCTGTTATGCATAACGCTGCTCTGAATTTCCGCGCAAGTCTTTACGTGGATGGCCATCTGTCTGCATCTGTCTTCAGCTCCCTTTACCTGTAGGGTGCTAGGGCTGCTGTGAATCATTTGCAAAGCTGAAGAGAAGAATGAGAGCAGGTGTATTTATTTTTAAGAGCCAGAGTGAGCAAGACTGGGGGAGAGGGGCGGAGAGGTAGAGGGAGAGAGAGAATCCCAAGCAGGGTCCATTTAGTGCAGAGCCCATCATGGGGCTCGATCTCATGACACTGGGATCAGGACCCCAGCTGAAATCAAGAGTCAGATGCCCAACCGACTGAGCCCCCCAGGTGCCCCATGAGCAGGTGTTTAATCTGTGAGTTGCTCCTTGGCTCCTCGTGCCCTCCAGGTGCTGTGTGAGCACAGCCACACCCTTGGCTTTAGGATCCCTTCCCTCCAGGAGCCAGGAGCTCTCAGCCTCCCAGGGGAGGCAGCCTCAGGCCCTGCTAGCTCTCAGGACGTCTAGTCCATCTGTCCAGGATGAGCTTCATTTTTGCATGAAGGCCAATTTAGGGTAAAAGATTTGATAGGGTCTGCTTTAAGAAAGAAAGAAAGAAAGAAAGAAAGAAAGAAAGAAAGAAAGAAAGAAAGAAAAAACGTTTATTGGTGCACCTGGGTGGCTCAGTCAGTTGAGCATCTGAGGCTTGATTTTTGGCTCAGGTCATGATCCCAGAGTCGTGGGATTGTGCCCGCATCAGACTCTGAGCTAAGCATGGAGCCTGCTTAAGATTCTCTCTCGCTCGCGCTCTCTCTCTCACTTGTACTCTCTCTCTCACTTTCTCTCCCCTGCTCCCCCTCTCTCCTCTGCCCCTCTCCTGCCCCCTTGTGCATGCATGCACGCTTTCTCTTTCTCATTCTCTCCAAAATAATAATAATAAAAAGAATAGTGTCTGCAACTGTGCATAAGGATAAGCATTCTTTCAACATTTCCCTGTCACCAAAAGGTTTATTTTCTGTGGCTAAAATTTCAGAAACTACGCAACCAGCAATATCTGATTGTAACAGGGCACCTTTGATCAGATTTCAGGGGCCAGTCCGCATTGTTTTCCCTTGACGGGCCTTGGAAGGCACTCCGCCGCGGAGTGTAACACGTGTCCCAGTGCCCCCCAATATAGGTGTCTGCTTTGCAGTGTCCTCCCCTCACACACAAGTGGAGAGAGGCCGGCCTCGCCCCACTGACGTGGAAACACACCACACTCGGCAGCCACTTTTCTCTCCCTGAAGTTGAGCAGTTGTATTTTATATTCCTGAAAGTTTAAGTGCCACCCTCCTCGGCCCCCTCTGTCCCTGTGGGGGAAAGGTGTTCTCTGCAGAGGAATCGGATGAGCTGAGCAACATCTGATGTGGGAAGCAGAGAGCGGGGCTGGCGGGCATGGGAGGGAAACCCAGAAGGCAGGCTGTAGGCACGTCCTGGGAAGCCAGCTGTGGAAGAGACGGGGTTGGAGGGGGACAGTGGCCTCATGCCTGTTCATCTTGGGCAGAGCAGTGCTGTCCGTGGAGTCATGCCTTACCCGGGGCTGGGGTTCTGAAGTTAACATGTGAGTGTCATCTATAGTCAGAATTTCCCCGGAAAGTCTCTTACGTTGCCCTTGAGTACACATGACTTTGTGCATATATAACCCATACAGTAAATAACATATTTAAATGTTGGATGTATAGAGTAATGTGTATTATAGAATGTGGTTCTAGGTGACGATTTTTCTATAGGCTGCCTTTGGTTTGTACTTTGGGTGGTTGGCAGGCCAATGGAGACCACTGTGGAGTCAGCGGAGGCAAATCCCGTCTCCAGTTGCTCCTGCACCCGCCCCAGCGGTCCTCCAGCTGCACGCCCGTGGGGCTGCCTCCACCTCTCTCCACCTGCATTATTTTTCTAAGTGAGAAAGGAGAGCTGCTGAAGGACATCCGGAAATGGCCTCATGCCGTGTGTTAAGGTGCTTCCTTTCCATTTCTACTAGGCCGTTAAAGACACGGCGACGTCCAGAATCGTGCTGTTCGGGACCTCCGCTTTTATCCCTGAAGTCTTCTCCCACTTTTTCATAAGGTAAGAGGCAGGTAGGAATAGACGTTTGACACTCAAAATCCTTACAAAACTTGTCAAACACCGAGCCTGCTGGGAGGGATGGGAAGAAGTTTCTTTGGTCACCTTCCTGCTACATTCTGTTCATCACAGTTAGGACAGCAGGATTCACGTGGGGCACGCATGGAAATCCAGATTTGCCTGTTCCTTAAACGTGGAATCTCACCCAGACCCTGTCCTCAGCTAGCTGTGTGTTCCTGGGCGTGTCCCAGCACCTGCTGAAGCACAGCCCCTCAGGTCTCGAATGCTGAGTCGAGATGATTGGCAGGTTCTCCCAGCTCTGATGTGTTGTGAGTGTGGCTCAAGCCTGCCTTCCCCCTTCATTCAAGCATGTGTTAAATTAGCCTAAGTGGCCTAGATTCAGCAGACCATCATCCCTTTTGAGAAGCAAGAAATGGCCGGTTGGGAGGAAGTCCTGGGGACCTGCCAGTGACAAGCCCAACACGCAGTAGCTTAGGCCGGAAGGCAGATGTGTTGGTTTAGATACTGGGTGCGGGCAGAGAGCGTAGCCTAGGGCAGCTGAGCAGACACCCCACGGCAGGGACAGTCCTATCTTCACGGTGTCAGCTTCCCTCTGTCCTGCCACACGCTGGCTTCCTTGTGGTGATGAGGGACGTGACTGCCAACACCTCCCAGCTGCTATCCTCAAAGAGTCCGGAGGAGTGATAGAAACATGGCAAACCCCAGCAGAGACAGGGAATGTCTTCCACTCAGTTCACAAACTCCCAGAGGAGGACTCAGTTGGCCCAGATGGGGTCACCGGAACCGATCCCCTCTATCCAGCGTGATGAGTTAGAAAGCCTTCGTTAGGACCACATAAGGAGTGTTTTCTAGAAGTAGCAGCATGCCGCTTAGAGCCAAGTGTTACTTCCCATGGGCCACCGGCTGGATGGCTGTAGAGACTAATGCTGGCCAGGTTCTTCATGGACCAGTCTGGCTGGGTCACAGCTGGGCTTCCTCTGAAAGCTGGCACCCTCCAGTCTATCCCTTGAAGCCCACCTAGTGACCCGAGCGGCCTGGGGAGAAGGGATGGCGTTCATTTCCCAGTGGGCCCTCACAGCTGTGATAGTGTCCAACCTGGAATGACCTCGGTGGCTCTTCTGACTCAGCCCTTTTATTCTGCGTGTGAATGAACCCAGGCTCAGGAAGGGAAGGTGTCTTGCCCAAGACCCTGCAGTCTGTCAGTGGCAGCCGGACCCAGGCCCCTGGATCTCTGACTCCCAGGCTGGGTCAGAATGTCACATGCATGTCAGCAGAGCCCAGCATCTAGAATCTGGCCTCTCACTTTGGAGGTGTGGGATTTTGGACAAGTGACTTAACTGGTCGGTGGCTGTGTCCTTGTTTGTGTGAAAGGGGGTGATGGTAACACAAACTTCAAAGGGTTGTTGGGGATCAAAATGGGCAAATGCCTGGGAAGTGCTGAACCCCAGGCCTGACGCCCAGCGAGCGCTCCGTCAGTGCAGCTGCTGGTATCGCTTGTTTGCTGGTGAATGGGGACCAAGGCGTGGGCCCGGCCGGCTGCACGTAAGACCATTAGAGCGGAGGGCCAACCTCTGAAGAAAGCCCAGTAACCTTGTCTCTTACAGGACCCAGTTTTTCCGGCAATATCCATGGTCATTATGGACCTTCAAGCTGTCTTGTACTGTCTTAGTAATGGGACTGATGGTGCCAGTTTCTTTTAGTATGTACCCACAAATTGAACGGGTAAGTGCCCCCTATTCAAATTTCTCTCAAAACAAAAACAAAACAAAACAAAAAAAACAAGCCTTTTTCTTCTCCTCGTTGTAAGAGAAAGAGAATTCTAAGAAATCTGCGAAGTTTACAAAAGTATAAAAATAACATTATTTAATCCCGTCCCGCAGATCACTTGTGCCATTTTGGATTCTATTTTTCTCAGTGATATACCAGAAGCATTTTTCTGGGATATTTAAAAAAAACTTTGAGATTTTTTAGATACCTCATAACGTTCCATAGTGATGTCTCATCCAATGGGACTTTCTTCAGCGATGGAAATGTTTGATATGTATGCTAATACAACCACCTCTAACCACATATAGCTGTTGAGCACCTGCAGTGTGGCTAATGTGACTGAGGAACAGAATTTTTTTTTTTTAATTATTTTTTTAAATGTTTACTTATTGTTGAGAGAGAGAGAGACAGAGCGTGAGCAGGGAAGGGGCAGAGAGAGAGGGAGACACAGAATCTGAAACAGGCTCCAGGCCGTCAGCACAGAGCCCAAGGCGGGGCTCGAACTCACGAGCTGGGAGATCATGACCTTAGCCGAAGTCAGGCTTAACCGACTGAGACACTCAGGTGCCCCTGAATTTTTTATTTAATGCATTTTAAGTACTCACATGCAGCTAGCGGTTTCTGTATTAGACGATGTAGTTCTATAGACTAGGATATATTATAATCGATGATGAGTCAGACTACCTGGATTCAAATTCCCAGCTCCTCCATGACCTCGGTCAATTTGTTTAAATTCTGTGAGATTCAATTTCCATATCTGTTAAAGAGAATTAAAGATAGTATCTCCGCAGAAGGCTGTTGCTGCTGTCAGGGACATTGTTGATGTCACAGCTTTTGGCGATTCCTGGCGTTTCTTAGCTGAAAATTTCAAATGTTTGTTTCTGCCACTGAAGTTAAACATCAGTGATGTCTTCAAAAGCATTTAAATTTATGGAATGAGCTTGTTCAAAACCCAAATCTAGGTTCATAAAATCATTAATTCGGGTAACTTTGCCATCACCTAACATAGAAACTTATATTACTAAATATTTATTTATTAAAATAAAATGCTAGAATATATTTTTAATCCTTACAGGCCCACCTAGAACATGGCTTATTATAATAAGATTGTAATAAAAGTGAACTCTTTTGCAAATAATTACTTCTGGTCGCACTGGTACTCAGTGAAGGAGGTGGCTTAACCTGCAGAGGTTATGTCATTTACAGAAGTCGTTAAATCTTGGGGGAGGTTCCCACTCCCCTGCTGCCATGATTATGTGGTTTCCTCCTGGGCTCTTGCATTCATTCCCCAAACAGTGATGGGGGGCCTATCCTGCCAGACCAGCTAGGTGCTGGGGTCAGCGGTGAGTAAATGGGTCTTGCCCTATGTAGCTATGAAAAAGCAATGACGTGTGGCCAGCTGGGGCTTTGATTGGGGAAGTAGGAGAAGGGGAAGCCACAGAGCCCAGGAATCCCGACCGGCTGAGGGTGGAGGTGTCGTACTTTAAGAGGTCCAAGGGAACAACCTTTTGCGGAACTCCCTTCGCTGCCACGGGGGAGTCAGAATATGGAATCCGCAAGTTGTTAGATAATCAGGTCTCTTTCCAGTTTGTCTTGTACACATCATTGTGGGTCATGGGATTCGTTTTTCCAATGTTAGGAGTAACTTGGTTCTTTACTCTGTGATATCATTTTGGTCCTCAGCTAGTGGCTACTCTCTATGGCTGGGGCCTCCGAGGGCATGAGGTCACCCTTCTTCTGGGAAGGCTAGGTCCAGGACAGCCTGTCAGAGGGCAGGACCAGAGGCGATCCTCCCCCACTTTGCTGCCGCTGTTCTCACTGGCCTTCTGGAGTCTGGTGGCCACTAGACTTAAAGTTACAGGGCCGAATGGATGTGTTGGGGTCCTCGGGCCCGTGAGGGGGAGACTCCCACACGCAGGTAACTGTAGACACAGTGGGACTGCAGTGGAACGCAGTCACACATAGGGGTGGTGTGGGCACAACAGAGGCAACGTCAGTGCAGCCAGGGGCTGGGGGCCGTGGCAGGGGATGCGTGGGGGGAAAGGCAGCCTGGGCCAAGGGCACAGCTTGTGCCCAGACATGGAGTGGTGTGGTCCACCCCGGGCACTCTGGTCCCACATGGCTAGAGTGTGAGAGAAGAGGCTACAGGTGTTCTACGCCTAATAAGTGTGGCTTCTGTTTATCCAGCATCTTCTGTGTCCTGGGGACTGTCTGCCTGGCAGTTAGTCTCTTGTCTTTAAGACAGCTTTTCAAGGTAGTTTGTATTCCCACTTTACCGACAGGAGCCTGGGGCTCAGGGGAAATAGGAAATTCCCCTGTGGGCTATTCAGCTATGGAGAGGCGGGGCCAATGGGGGAAGGACCTTACCAGCCCCTCATGGTGATAGAACTTTATACGGAGGCAATGAGGGAGACGTTTCGAGGGGGGAGTGGCTTCGTCAGGTTGTATTTTAGAAGTATCACTCTTTGGATGTCACAGTGTAGATGGGAGGCTAGGAGGACAGCTGGGGGGCTGTAGACACATTCTGGCTGGAGGTGATGGGGGGCTCAGAGTAGGTCCATGGTAGTAGGTTAGAGAGAAATATTGAATTGGGCGAGTTAGAATTTGTGAGCATTCAGATTGGGGGTGAAAATAAAGAGAAAAGGATCCAAGGGGCTATCCAGATTTCTGGTTTAGGTGTGATGCCAATAACCAGGACAGAGGAAGGAAGGGCTCTGTATTAACTAGGATTACGTTTGGGGCACCTGGGTAGCTCAGTTGGTTGAGTGTCTGACTCTTGGTTTCAGCGCAGGTCATGATCTCACGTTTCGTGAGTTCAGCCCCGCATCAGGCTCCACACTGACATGCAAAGCCTGCTTGGGATTCTCTCTCTCTCCCTCTGTCTCTCTGCTCCTTCCCTGCTCATGCTGTCTCAAAATAAATAAACTTAAAAAAATTTTTTTAAATAAATTAGAATTACATTCGGTTGTAAATGAGATCGAAAATAACAGCCTGAACAAGGTAGAAGTTGTTTCTCACTCACATAAAATGTGTCATGAGCACGCTGGGAAGGCGCACACATGAGTTGTGTTTTTCCACAGTACCTTTTCCAATAAAGTACCAGTTTTGTTCAGTCATAAAGCAAAGGGAATCATGATTCTGAAAGCAGGTTCAGGGTTCCAAACTGGGTGACATTTCACCATGTGATTAAACTTGGCTTCTTACACAGCGCATGGAGCAGAACATAAGTCACACAACAAACAAGGTAACAGAAAGGTGCAGAAGTTAGCCAAGCAAACGTGAAGTCAGTCTGTGGGTGCGCAGTTGAGATAAGGCCGTGGTCCAGCCGGGTCAGCTCTCGGCACTTACCGCTTATTATGGTCAAGCCGTGAAGGATCTCAGTCATGTTCGAGATCGATCGGGTAGTGCCTTGGCGGCAGCTGCTTTTTAAGTGGTCATAGAGGGGTCACATCAGAAGAGTCTGATGGTTTGCTGCAAAACTCGTCCCTTTATGAAGAGCCCCTGCAGACCTCCTCTGGTTCGTCTTGTTGTCAGTGCTGGGGTATCAGCTGATGCCGGTCCCGGTGATAATCTCGGAGCTGCAGTACCTCTGACTACTTGTGTCATTGCTTGACATCAGAGGCTCCATTTTGCTTTCTACTGTGAGGTGACCAGCCCAATAAGGCAGCGATGCGTCATAAAGTCCTCAGGGATCTTAATTCCTTCCAGGCCAGCATGCCACCATTCCTAGGGTTTGGCCCCATCTTCAAGGTACCAGATGGTACCTTTCCCATTCCACTTGGCCACGTGCCACTTTCACTTCATCACACTGTCCAGAACTTAGTCATGTGGTCAAGCCTCACCGCAAGGGAAGCTGGGAAATGAGGTCTTTATTTTGGACCTATTTAAAATTCTGCTGCTGTGGAAGAACAGATGGGACAGATGGCAGGAAGGGTAATGTGTCACATATGGAAACAACTGTTACCTGCTAGGAAGTAAGTATGACCAAAAGGCTATGGGGAGATTAGGGAAAGAAGAGAATTGCCGGCTGATCCAGGAAGGCTGCCTGGAAGAAGTAGGCTTTGGACATGGATGGATGTCAACAGGCAGAGATGGGGGAGTGAAGAGGGCATTCCAAGTCGGGGTATAGGAGAGCTGAGGAGTCCAATGTAGCTGGGCACAAGTCACTGAGTGTGACTGGCAACATGCTTGGGGCCAGATAGCAGGGCCTGTATGGCCAGGCCCAGGAGGCAGGCTCTACTCTGAAGGCAACCGGTGGGTCATGCAAGGCTTGAAGGGGCAGGGCTCTCAGAGGCCAGAATAGAGGCAGGAAATGGAATCCATTTCCCCTCCTGAGCCTCTCCCCGCCAACCGCCAAGCAAGTCTTGGCATTTGCTAGACCTTGAAAGAAACTTGTTGGTCCAAGGTGGGCACAGAGGTGGCTGAATGGTGGTCCCCAGCCAGTGGGGTCCCCAAGCCCTGCCTCCTTGTCTGGCCCCCGCCCAGGACCAAGACATCTTCTCAGATGTACCACAGGCTGCAGCAACCTTCAGGTCTGGAAACTCAGTGACCTTGACAGGGAAACTTGTCCCCTGCAAAACTCCTTTTCCACTAAGCTAGTACTTCTGCCACCTCGTGAGACTAAGAACCGTGACTGGGGATTAGGGGGATTGTTGTTAACTTTGGTGGGTGTGATGACAGCAGAGTAGTTGCATAACAGAGTCATTGTCCTTTGGAATTTCATACGGAAGCATTTGTAGGTAAAATGACAGATCTGAGAATTGCCTTCAAACACTCCAGAAAATACCCCCAAATTGGGATTGGGAGATGCCGGATGAAAGGAGATTGGCAGGTTGTTACTAATGCTGAGTGATGAGTAGATGAGGGCCCATTGTATTCTTTCTGTGTGTGTTTATATTTGAAATTCTCCATAACAAAATGTTCAAGAAGTTCTGCTTTTTTGTTGTTGTCGATCAGACATCACTGAAAAAGTTGGACTGGAAAATAGATGCTTTCTGTAATATATACATATATTTTTTTAACTTGGCTCTTAAGGCAAGAAAAGTTCTTAATATAAATATTAAGAATTTAACTTTGTTTTTCAGATACAGTGCAATAAGCTTGAAAAGGAAATTCAGTCCGCAACAGAAGAAACGGAACTCTTCTATAACAGAGGGGTATAGGGATGAGTTTTTGGTGAATTTGTTCTGTTCCTGCTTGAACGCCTTCCTCTCTGCTCGAGGTGTCTGTTCCGAGGACTCTGCCAGGGGTCTGGAACCCGAGGTGTCTGTGCCCCCAGGATGGCTTACAATTGCACAGGCCAGCGCCCTTTTCAGGCAGGTGCCGGGGGTTTCAAGCCTGGATGAAAGTTCTGAGAAACAAGAGGCTGTCCTGTCTGGTCCACCCCCATGGGGTTGCTGAGGGGATGGGTGATAGAAGATTCGATTCTCTAGGTGTTTGTTCATCAGCCTCTGAAGGGATACTGTGAAATTACTAATAAACTTATTAAAAGTTGAGTATTTGAAAAAATAAAGGAAAAGGGTCTCCCGTGCCCAGGGCCCAGCCATTAAATTGATGGCCCACCTCAAGGTAAGTGGGAGCCTCTGGTGAGCGCTGAAGGCCTCCACCCCCAAAGCAATCCTCTTTCCCTCCTCAGCTTACTCCCATTTTGGACGCCTGAAAATCTTTGCCCCCGGGGCCATCCGCCTCCTGTCTCCTCTCTGGCAAATGACCCTGCCTCCTCCCTCACAGTGAAAACAAGGCTGTGGACCAGCGGTGGAACCTCCTGGCGTCAGTTCCGCAGACCTCTTCCCACCCACGCCCAGCCTTCCCTCCTCCTCGCAAGGTCAGCTGTGGGCCGGGCTCAGGGCCCTTCCATTCCCATTTCCTCAGGGCCTTCCGTGCCTGTGTAGCTTCCCTGCCTCTGGCTCCAGACTCCTCCCTCCTTCCCAGAAGCAAGGGAGCTACTGGAGTCACCAGCCTCGTTAAAATAGCTAACATCCTTCCGGAGCCAAATGTTTTCAAGGGTTGTCTCCCCTCGCTGTGCCCACCGCCTTCCACCCTGATAGAACTGCTCCCCACCCCACACCCCACCCGAACACTGACTGCCAGTCTGCTGGGTGCTCAGACTCAGCACGGGGCTTGCTCCCCTGAGCGGTAGGCCCCCCTCCTGCTGCCCCCGGTACCCCGCCCCTCAGACATCCACTTGAGACCATCTTTTCCTCCCCGTCTCAGGAAATGGCACCGCCACCGACGAAGCAGCGTCACCCAAGATCACTGGCGTCACCCTCTCTTCTCCCTCCCCTCAACCCCATTCAACAGCTGAGCCCAAAGGTGACAAGTGCTACAGCCTGCCTGGCCCATCAGCATCCCCTGCTGGCGTTACTCGATTATCTCTGCTGGCTCCTCCCTTCCCTGCCTCAGCCTGCTCTGATAAACACCTGCCCAAAAGCCTTAAATGGCTTCCCAGTGCATCAGGTTCAAGTCCAAATTCCTTACCAGGCAGGCCAGAGCCTTTACCTTATTCATCTCCTGCCGCCCCTTTTCTTCACTTTGGACCATACCCTGTTCCTCATATGGACTGCAGGCTTTCCTTCCTGGACCTTCATGTCAGCTGTTCCCAGCTCCAGGTTAACTCTCACTTATGCATCAGGTCTGACTTGGACATCAATCACTCCCTCCAGGAAGCCCTCTAGGATACACAGTACTGAATTAGGTGCCCCTGCTATGTGCTCCCATAGCACTCATACTGTATCTAGCCTGGCCACACCACAGTGGGATAGCCTGTTTGCTGACCCTGAGCCCCCCCCAGACCGCATGCCTTGAGAGCAAGAAGTGTGTGTGTTGTGCATCAAGGGAAGCCTCAGGACACAACGCAGTGCATGGCACAGTAGGCACCCTAACATCTGCATGCTGGAGGAACGTTTCCAACACACCCGGCCCCAAATCATCAAAGAATGTATCTGAGGCTTTCAATGTTCCCTGGGCCAGAATGATGGTTATCTGCAAACTTGGTTAAAAGGGTTTCACAAAAGCCTAAACGAACAAAACTGTTTAAAAAAGCCTACCAGATGGCTCGGTATAGCCACAGGCATACACGAAACAAAATGAAAGAACAAAACACACAAAGGACCCAGGTGGAGGCTTAGCCACTAGCAGATGACAGAGTAGAAACTCGAGGGCACCTTTTCAAAGGAGAAGACACAAGCGCCAGCTCTAGGAAATGGGGGATGGAGAAGGGCGAGGGCAGGGAGGGCAGGGGGTGAGCCAGGCACGGAGGCAAGGAGCTGAACGCCTTAACTTTCAAACAGGCCTTGCAATAACTTCCCAGCACATCTGCATTGACAAAAGGGTTTTATCTTTTGTTTCGAGTGGGGAGCATTACAGAAAGAGGGCACAATTCTTCATCTGCCTAAATTTCATTGGATATCAAAATATTTTCATTTTATTTCTGCATCATAAATCTGTAATTTTAACAACTTTGATCATTAACTGCTATAGTAATACAAAAAATGGAGATAAAGACGTTCATGTTCGTTTTCATAAAGTGCAGATTTAATCTTCAATTGTTTGCCTTAGTAAACATCATCTCATTCCAGATCCTCCCTGCCCCCACCCAAGGAGGGCGGGGAAAAGGCTATTTTTTATTTTTACTTAACAAATGTCTAACACAAAGAATAAATGAAAGATCTAATAAAGACAAGATTTTTTTGCAACTGTTTTTCTGGGTAAGATTTCTAAGGACAACAGTAGTGAGTGTAAAATAATTTTTCATAATTAATATGAATACATATAATAACAAATACATAATTTAGACCTCTATGCTTATTTTGCAACTTTTAGGCCTCCAATTATGAAAAAGATACATAAGCTGAACAAGAATACTTTCCAGTGTGGCCAAATTACTTTCACTGAAGTATGAAGACACTCTCCGGTCTTAGCCTTTGTAATTATGTAAAGTTGCTATTTTCTTCATACCGACATTTATATCCAAAATGGGCTTATTTTTGCTCTATCATATAAGGACTGGCATCTTTTTCAAAAGAATATTGCTGGCAACAGGGTTAATTAAAGAGTACTAATGGCTTAAGTTTGCCAAGTGCTTACTTCTGTGACAATATAAATATGGATTATTAAAGTTGTCTACTCAAGTATAAAATCTATGCAAAATCCTCATAATATAGGCAAAAATGTTTAAAGGCCAAGAAAAAGAATTCTTTTCTTTTACAAGAAAGTGCAACTGCAGGATCTTTTTTGAATGATCTTCTGGACAGTTCTGCAGAAAACTTAGTAGTTTGGCTCAGAAAGTAGAGTTCCTCATGAGGAATAAAAGTTCTTCCTAGAAGAATACAAAGCAAAATTTCAGGCAGCTTTCTGAAAGTAAGCCATTCGTTTGTGGCTACGCAATGGGACAAGTGGAACTGATAATAATGAAGGCTTTCGGGTTTGCTGTGATTTGCACTAAAACTTGGCAGAGCTTTTTTTCTCTTACGCCGGGACACCACGTCGTTGCTCACGTCATAGGTGGTAGTTACAGCACTTGGTCTGACCCTGACCGCAGGCATGAATCTGACCAGGAGGACATCGGAAATGTTTTCATACGTGTTTTAGGGCTTTTTCAGGTCAAATCTCAACACTTTCACATAAATCATTAAAAATAGAACATTTTCTGTGCTATTTTCAGTATTTTACACAGTGGATAACCATGGTGAGAGAACTTTCTATCATTCATCAGGGATATGCTGTCACACAGTCAGATTTTCAGCATTTGCTCAGCTGCTGCTAGATGGTAAAGGAAGTTTTCTGTTGCTGGTGGAAATCGTCTTTGCTTTAGTGCCTCAAAATTGAGAACTAGCTTTTCTCCATCACCAGAAACTTCTGAAAATGGTTCCAGGTGGGTGAAGATTTCTCTAGTTTTTAGAGAAATATCCTTTAATGGAACAAGAAAATATGCCATAAGTTAGCATCAAAAAATACGAATTTTTGCTGCATTTGGAGAGATTCTTCCTATTTTTTAAGTTTATCAAATTATTTATGCATTACAAAAAATGAAACTTAAAACAGAAAAACCAACACCATGTTTTTGCCATTTTAGCCATTTTTAAGTGACAACAAGTACATTCAGTGTTTTATGACTACTACCCATTTCCAGAACTTTTTCATCATCCCAAACTGAAATCTTGTACCCATTAAACAATAACTCCCCATCCCTGTCTCCAATGCCTGGTAACCACCATTCTACCTTTTGCTTCTGTGAATTTGCCTGGTTCTGGGTACCTCATATAAGTGAAATCACACAACATTTGTCCTTTTGTGTCTGGCTTATTTCACTTAGCATAATGTTTTCAAGGTTAATACATGTCGTAGCACATGTTAGAACTTCATTGCCTTTTAAGGCTCAATGATATTCCACCATACGCATGTACCACGTTTTGTTTATCCATTCATCCACTGATGGACATTTGGGTTATTTTTACCTTTTGGCTATTATTTATAGAGCTGCTGTGAACCTGAGTGCACAATTACTTACCTGTGTCTGCTTTCAATTCTTTCTGAAATATACCCAGTAGAATTGCTGGGTCTATGGTATTCCTATGTTGAATTTTTAAGGAACCTTGGTATTGTTTTTAGAACAAATCTCCCCACCCCCCAAAATCCTCTTCTACCTGGAATAAGTAACCCAGCACCTGCCACATGGGCTGTATTCCTCTTTCCCGACAGTCCTTTGCATGGCTGATGACTCACGAGAGCTCACATTAAAGTCATGTCTTTTTCTTGGTTTGCTGACATCATTAATTCAAATATTTTCAAACCCATACAATATAATATGCCAGGCAATTTCATCATACATTATACTGAGTCACCTGCGTATCACTTGTAGTCCACGAAAAACGCAGTAACACAAAACTCATATTTACACAGTTAACCAACGTTGTAAAGAGCCAGCATTTTTACTTGAGCGTTGATGGAGGGATGGGTGGGCAGTGATGATCCACACGGTAGGAAAGGAAGAGTCTCAGCTCTCAGGACAAGCCCCCCCCACTCTTCCTGGCCTGAGCCAATGGGCCACCAGCGCTGAACAGAAAGCACGGTGCTGCTGGGGGGTTCCTGTCACACCTGTGGCTCCTCTCAACCTTTAGCTCACGTGTCACCTCCTCGGAGAGCTGTCTAATCTCTTCTCTAGTATTCTTCACCTTGACCCTTTGTTTCTATCACAGCATTCATTTCTCATGGCTCACAATGATCTGGCATTTACTTTTTTTTAAGTTTATTTATGTATTTTGAGAGAGAGAGAGAGAGACAGAGAGACAGAGAGAGCGAGCATGATCTGGGGAGGGGCAGAGAGAAGAGAGAGAATCCCAAGCAGGCTCTGTGCCACCAGCACAGAGTCCGACATGGGGCTTGAACTCACAAACACGAGACCATGACCTGAACTGAAATCAAGAGTCAGACATTTAACCAACCGAGCCACCCAGGTGCCCTTACATTATTTCCTATTCATCTACTCCAATAAATACAACCCTACTGCCCCATGCCTGACATATAGTCAGTGCTCAATAAATATTTTCTGGATAAATGAATGAATAAATGGAAAAAAGAACCGGGTCCAGCCAGATGAGTAGGGCCTGCCTATCAGAGCCCCCCCACCCCCACCCCTGATGAGGTGGCACAGGTACAGACAGTGGGAGACAATCCTTCCAGGCCTCTGGCCCCCACGGGATGACACAAGGGTCTAGATGAGCCAGGGCCCGGAGGCCAGGATGGAAGTGTATCCCGGGAGAAGAGTAAGGAGCTGGGAACAGGCGCAATGCAAACCGGCAGCAGACAGGAAAGGAGCTGGCAGGCTGCGGTGCACAGGAGGGCCTGTCATCACCACAGGGACAGGCTTGAATAAACTCTCCAGCCATCCCGATCCAGAAAGGGGAGAGGGGAGGATCCACATGGAAGCTCTGGCCAGCTTGACAGGGAGACCCCACAGCGGGGCTAGCCCTGCAGGGTGTGAGCCCAGAGTCTGCTACCTTTGGCAGGGATCTGACTACATGCTTGCTTACTGCTGTTCTGGACACAGTACATCGAAGCTAGACTGAGTCGCTCTCTCTAGTCCTCAGCAGCAACTATCTCTTGAAAGTTGTCCCTCCGTGAAAATTCTGCTGGAGCACAGAATGCGTTCGCTCAGGAAAGCATTCCAGACCAGCTGGAGGTCACACCTGTCACCAGCCCCCTGCATGTATCTGTCCCCAGAGCCTGATAACTATTTGGCTATGGTGGGCCTCCGCCCGCTCCTCTAACCAGGGCCACCCTGCAGACCCTCGTGCCAGCATCTGCCTACGGCTTCTCACGGCTCCCCGCACCCCAGGCAGCTCTGCCACACGCTGCCCGGCACCACCACTACACAACTCTCAGTAAGGCAGGGGACTGAGGAGTTACCTGTATGACTTGGCCGTCTGACTTCTCCGGATCTTCTGCCGATTGAACAATCAGCTGACCAATTTCTTTGTGCAGTTTGCCCATTGTCATGGCCTCTGGTGAGATCAAGCAGAAGTTATGTAGATAGTTAGAAGTTTACATAATAAAAACCAGGCCGCCTATTTGAAAATGTAAACCATCATACGGAGGAAATTTTCAAAACAACCAACAACCGCCCACATTTCCATCTTCATCCTGAACGCAAATATGATATCACTCCAAGGGACGTGCCAGGAGGCATGGCATAATCACGATTTATACTTCGTTCAAAATAAAAACACGCCAATACCAGGTTTCTCCTTCACACCTACCTGATGAGAAATTTTGTTTTTCTTCCTAGACAAGACCTAATGAAAACTACTGACTACAAGTAAGTTGTGATTTTAAGCCAAGAGCCTGACCTCCCTACGCAGGTCTTTACGGTTAAGAATTCAAGTGTAACTCGGGGGCCTGGGTGGCTCAGTTGGTTAAAAGTCCCACTTCGGCTCAGGTCATGATCTCACATTCGTGAGTTCGAGCCCCGCGTCGGGCTCTGTGCTGACCGCTCAGAACCTAGAGCCTGTTTCGGATTCTGTGTCTCCCTCTCTCTCTGCCCCTTCCCCACTCATGCTCTGTCTCTCTCTCTCAAAAAGAAATAAACATTTAAAAAAAAAACTCAAGTGGAACCTTCTGGTGGGGATCCTATAGCAGCAGAGCATCCTATCAGTTCTGCAGAAGCCAGCTGAACATTCCAGTGTGTGAAGACCCTCAGAATGTGCAAAGGAAACAACCTAAGTCACACGATTTACACACTGCTCCTTTTCTGCAGCAAAAAGATGAACAGAAATTTCTGTTTGTCCCTCCAAGGGACAAACTCCATTTGAATGGTGTTGATTTGAGATGAGCTCATCTTATATACTCGGAGCAACAGAAGGCGACAGGAGATGGCCACCCTTTCTGGTCCTAATGCTCCAGCAATATAAGTGGCCCTGGCCACAGCTAGTATCCTATCACTCTGGCTTTACAAAGGGCAATACTCACCTCCATTCCCTTTTGCTTACTGACACATCGTTCAAAAAGATTTTCCATACAGGATTCATGTTCAGTCCTTGTGCAATAATAAATTTCTACGCCCTTTTTCATTCTCTGTCCTTTAAGAGGTGGAGCCTACTTCCTCTCTCTTACGTGGGGACTGGACTTAATGGCTTCCTTCTAACAAATAGAATATGGAAGAATTGGCATATGACTTCTGAGACTAGGTCATAAAAGGCACTGTGGTCTTTCTGTCTCTTGGATCACTCACTCTTGGGGAAGCCAGCTGTCATGTCATGAGAATACTCAAGCTGCCCTACAGAGAGGCCAGGTGGTGAGGCCTCCTGCTAAAAGTTAGCTTAGAAGCTGAGACTTTGGATGCCTGAAGCCTTGGGAATATCTTTGTTTTTTAATGTTTATTTATTTTTGAGAGAAAGACAGAGCATGAGCAGGAGAGGGGCGGAGAAAGAGAGGAAGATACAGAATCCGAAGCAGGCTCCAGGCTCTGAACTGTTAGCACAGAGCCCAACATGAGGCTCGAACCTACGAACCATGAGATTATCACCTGAGCCGAAATCAGACCCTTAACCAACTGAGCCTCCCAGGTGCCCCTGCCTTGGCAGTATCTTGATCATGAGAGACCCTGAGTCGGAACCTCTCAGCTAAGTCAGTCCTAAAACTGTGAGATAATAAATATTTGCTGTTTTAATTTTTTTTTTTTTAAGGTTTATTTATTTTTGAGACAGAGAGAGACAGAGCATGAACAGGGGAGGGGCAGAGAGAGAGGGAGACACAGAATCCGAAACAGACTCCAGGCTCTGAGCTGTCAGCACAGAGCCCAACGCGGGGCTCGAACTCACAGACTGTGAGATCATGACCTGAGCCGAAGTCGGACGATTAACCGACCGAGCCACCCAGGTGCCCCAATATTTGCTGTTTTAAACTACTAGGTTTAAAAGTGATTTGTTATGCAGCAATAGGTAACTCATACAGCTTGTTTAAACAGAAAAGTTGAGAAACGAGATAGAGACACTATCCTATTGGGGCACCTGGGTGGCTCAGTCGGTTGTGTCCACTCTTGATCTCAGTTCAGGTCATATCTCAAAGGTTCAGATGACGGAGCCCCACGTCCGGCTCTGTGCTGACTGCACGGAGACTGCTTGGGATTCTTTCTCCCTCTCTCTGCTGCTCCCCCACTCACGCTTACTTTCTCATAGTAAATAAATAAACATTACAAAAAAAAGATACTATCTTATTAACATATACTGTACGGCATAAGCACCCAGAATGTACTACTAACATGGCTGGGCCTGTAAGAATAAATGCTATGTTCCAGACACAGAAAATCTCTCCAGTTTCAGCACAGCGGGCAAAGCAGGCCCTTGAATACCAGTTTTAGAGCATCAGCCTAAAGATACAACTGCTTCAGGGGCGCCTGGGTGGCTAAGTCAGTTGAGCGTCCGACTTCAGCTCAGCTCATCATCTCACGACTCATGAGTTCAAGCCCCGCGTCAGGTTCTGTGCTGACAGCTCGGAGCCTGGAGCCTGCTTCATACTCTGGGTCTCCCTCTCTCTCTCTCTCTCTCTCTCTCTCTGCCCTCTCCTGCTCATGCTGTCTCTCAAAAATAAAAAAAAAAAATAAATAAACATTAAAAAAAAATACAACTGCTTCAGGTGGGCGGGAGGATGGGTGAAACCGATCGAGGAGATTATGCGCACACTTATCTTCATGAGCCCTGAGTAGCATGTGGAAGTGTTGAATCACTGTACTGAACCCCTGAAACATAACCCTGTATGTTAGCTACACTGGAATTAAAATTTTAAGAAATTAATTTTAAAAGGTATAACTGCTTGGCTTACATTTCGTATCAACGACGCAAGAGAGAACTAACCTTTCGCAAGTGGGGCAATGGTAATCTCACGATCTGCCAGATTCACAAACACGTCATAGAGGTCTGACCTGTTGCTCACCTCCAAGTCCACAAACCCAGCGATGTAACCTGCATGACAAAGATGACCCACATTACCGGAATGGGAACAAATCCTGTTGTGAACGGGTCAAAAGAGAATGGACTCTAAACGTTCACCAGCTGCTTTTCTTCACTGCTTTATTCAGGGGACATCAGCTGTACCCTCTGGCATTTCTTCAGACTACATTATTGACAGTTGCCTGAAGAAACCCTTCCAACTCAAAACGTCCCCAAAACTACATTGTGGTGTCAAAGAAGAAGGCATTTACTTTTCAGTTACTGCTATTCAGGTCAAGAATGACAGCCGAGGGGGCGCCTGGGTGGCGCAGTCGGTTAAGCGTCCGACTTCAGCCAGATCCGCAATCTCGCCCGGTCAGTTGACCGAGCCCAGCCTGGTTGCTGTTGAGCTCGATAATGCTCGAGCCTGGAGCTGTTTTCGTAGTTCTGGTCTCCCTCTCTCTCTGCCCCTCCCCTGTTCATGCTCTGGTCTCTCTGTCTCAAAAATAGAATAAACGTTGAAAAAAAAAATTTAAAAAAAAAAATAAAAAAAAAAAGAATGACAGCCGAGGTAGAGGTAGCAAGGATTCTCTTGACCAATGCTCCCCCTGTAGGTCTGTCTCTAAGCAACCACAGCCACACGCCCGGCTTTCTCAGGGACAGCGTGCTGGGGACGGCATCATCTTTCACCAGTTTCAGATCTGATACAAATAAATGCTAAAGGAATCAGGACAACTCAAGAATTAACAGAAGTTTGGAACTGATGTTAAGAAAATAGCTACCAGACTTTTCACATTTCACAGAGCAATACAACGAAAAACAAAAAAAATTGAGGACCAATTCACTACTGGGACCTCATCGAAATAAAAAGCTTCTGCACAGCGAAGGAAACAATCGGCAAAACTAAAAGGCAACCGACAGAACGGGAGAAGATATTTCAAAAGACATATCAGATAAAGGGTTAGTATCCATAATCTATAAAGAACTTACCGAACTCAGGGCACCTCAGGGGCTCAGTCAGTTAAGCATCAGGCTCAGATCATGATCTCATGGTTTGTGAGTTCAAGCCCTGTGTCGGGCTCTGTGCTGACAGCTCAGAGCCTGGAGCCTGCTTCGGGTTCTGTGTTTCCCTCTCTCTCTGCCCCTCCCCCGCTCGCACTCTGTCTCTCTCTCACTCTCTCTCTCAAAAATAAACATTGAAGAACTTATCAAACTCAACACCCAAAAAAACAAATAATCCAGTGAAGAATTGGGCAAAAGACATGAAAAGACACTTCTCTAAAAGAAGACATCCAGATTGCCAACTGACACATGAAAAAATGTTCACCGTTACTCATCATCAGGGAAAAACAAATCAAAACCACAATGAGATACCACCTTACACCTGTCAGAATGGCTAACATTAACAACTCAGGCAACAACAGATGTTGGCGAGGATGCGGAGAAAGAGGATCTCTTTTGCACTGCTGGTGGGAACGCAAACTGGTGCAGTCACTCTGGAAAACAGTATGGAGGTTCCTCAAAAAATTAAAAATAAAACTACCTTATGACTCAGCAACAGCATTACTAGGTATTTATCTAAGGGATACAGGTGTGCTGTTTCGAAGAGACACATGCACCCCCATGTTTATAGCAGCGCTATCGACAATAGCCAAAGTATGGAAAGAGCCCAAATGTCCATCGATGGATGAATGGATAAAGAAGTGGTATATATATACACAATGGAGTATTACTTGGCAATCAAAAAGAATGAAACCTTGCCATTTGCAGCTACATGGATGGAACTAGAGGGTATTATGCTAAGCAAAATTAGTCAGAGAAAGACAAATGTCATATGACTTCACTCCTATGAGGACTTTAAGAGACAAAACAGATGAACATAAGGGAAGGCAAGCAAAAATAACATAAAAACAGGGAGGAGGACAAAACAGAAGAGACTCTTAAATATGGAGAACAGAGGGTTACTGGAGGGGTTGTGGGAGGGGGGATGGGCTAAATGGGGAAGGGGCATTAAGGAGTCTACTCCTGAAATCATTGTTGCACTCTATGCTAACTAAATCGGATGTAAATTTTAAAAAATAAAAATAAAAAATAAAATAAAATGTGAAAAAAAATAAAATTTTTAAGGAAAAAAAATTGGTCGCATTTACCAAAGAAATAATGCATCATCAGTAGTCCCTTTGGGAAGGCCAGAAAAAAGTCCTCCCCCAAACCAGGTGAACGCCAAGCCTCTCCTCCTGCGAGACCCCCACTGTCTACCTGGGCACATCCGCAGGGCTTCCAGCTCCTCGGCACTGAGGTGCACATAGGAATGAAGTATGGTCCAGTCCTGTCGATGCCACACCAGGGCAGGCAGAGTCCTGGGGAATGAAGACAAGAACTCAAATGGTTGCTGGCCCGCACCCGCACCCTCCTCCCTCTTCCTCCCGAGGACAGAGCTGGCTGTCAGAAGCAGAGGGGAGAATGAAGACTACACGTGCCCCGACCTCCAGGCTTCAAATTAAAGTAATGCAATGTCTTCAACTCTGCCTTTTTGGGTCAGATTAGCTACAAAAAGCTCAAGGTGAAGTTTCAAAACATCTCCGTGGTGGCAAGGAGTAACACTTCTGAAGTTTTCCTCCAAAAGCCTCACTCCGCAAACCGCCACGGAGGGAGTCTGAGGGTAAAATCCAGAGCGGGGCCCTGCAAGCAACATTTTTTTTTTGAAGTCTCTCATTTCTACGTTTAAAGTTCCAATCGAACTTGCAAACCACTTTGTGTTTGTTTTTATACAAAGTAAGTTTCCTTGAAAAAACCAGTGAAACAGCTGCCGCAGAGAGAGGTGACGAATTGAACTGAGGTATGGTGACTCCGCTGTTGCCCTGCTATGTTTCCCAAGCTGTGGACATCCCCGTTCCAGAAGCATAGATGTAGAGGGAAAGGGTGACTGGGTGGCAATCGCAATGACAGCAGTCCTCACTTCCAGAGCGCACACGATGAGCAAGGCACACGCCAAGTACTTCACACACGGCATCTCCAGTCCTGACAACAGGCTTACGAAGTGGGCATTGTTATCTTCATTTTACAGATACAGAGACGGAGGCTTAGAAAGTTTAAGTATCCTGGATGCGGTCACAGAGCGAGTAAAGCGCCCTCCAGGATTTTAACCCAAGTTCTTCTGACTACCAAACCTTCTTTTTCCTGTTTTCTAACCAGTCAGCCTCCTGGAGCCTCAATTTTCTCATCCGTAAAAGAAGGCAAAGTTCCTTGCAAAGTTCGTGTCACGAGTAAATTTAACAATTGAGGTGATTTATACAACAGCTGGCATACAGTAAGCACAAAAGCTAGGTCCTCTTGTTTTTAAAAAAAGAATCTATGAACAAGTTAGATTTGGTAAAGAAAAAACTTTCAAAACATCTTTATTATAAAAATAAGAGAGGGGCACCTGGGTGGCTCAGTCCGTTAAGCATCAGACTCCGGCTCCGGTCATGATCTCGTGGTCTGTGTGTTCAAGCCCCATGTCGGGTTCCGCGCTGACAGCCCGGAGCCTGCTTCAGATTCTGTATCTCCCTCTCTCTCTGCCCCTCCCCTACTTGTGTTCTGTCTCTCAAAAATAAATAAATGTTTTTTTTTTTTAAAAAAGAGAAAATCTGTGGTAAAAGTGAAAAAAGAAAAAAGAAATAACTTACTTAAAACAGGGGTCAGGAAACTATGGCCATGGATCAGCTGTCTGTCTTTGCACATAAAGTTTTACTGGAACACAGCCATGCTCATTCATTTACATATGCACGACTGGCAGTTGGGTGGTTGGGACAGAGAACTTATGGCCTCCAAGCCTAAAAAAATTTATGGTCTGGCAAGGAAAAGTTCAAACTCCCTGCTCTAAAATATTCTTATTTCTAAATTTAAAGAAGAATCTGCCCAAATTCGGTGACCTTGAACTACTAAAGCTCACCTGAAACATTAGACCAAGATAGCATTTCACCCACAGCCTACCACATTCTATTTATACCAAATGTGTAACAGAACAGAGCACACAGGAACACAGACTGCCCCAAATCAGCTGCCAACAAAGCCTCTACTTTTTAATGACCAGAGACATACCTGGTGAACTCCTGGACAGCTTCTATTTTGGGGTGATAGACGACAATTCTTTTCTTTAGCATCAGTGCTGTGTGTAAGATAACGGTTTCCATTCCAAACTGAGATACAATGTCTTAAAACACAAGAAATTATAATATTACTGCATTAAATAATATGTAAGAAAATAACATTTTTATTGGAAGGAATTCTTTCCAATAAATGCAGAGTTTATTTTCTGTATACAGAATTATTTTCAATACAGAGAATAAAAAAGCACCTTATGCACTGGATGAGCATATAAATCCAGACATCTGCTCCCTAGGATGGGTGCTATGACAGCCTAAACCTGACCCTCCTCCAAGGGACTCTGCACTGGATGCACAGATGAAGCCAGAGCCCAAAGAAAGTGGAATAAATGATATGAAGGGAACCAGTATCTTTCTGTGTCATGAAACACCCTTAGGTTTAAAAAAAAAAAAAAAAAAGTTTACTCTGGAGCACCTGGGTGGCTCAGTGGCTTAAGCAACTGACTCTTGATTTCGGCTCAGTTCATGATCTCACAGTTTGTGGGTTTGAACCCCACATAGGGCTCTACACTGACAGTACAGAGTCTGCTTGGGATTCTCTCTATCTGCCCCAACCCCACTGGCTCTCTCTCTCTCTCAAATAAATAAACATTCAAAAATAATAATAGATAAATAAAAGTTCATGGACACCACCCTTCCACCAATACAGACGTCATTATGTAAGTCCTTTTGAGACAGCTGAACAAACCTGTCAACAAGGATGCTTAGAAACCATATAGAACAGCAGGTTCAAGAGCTAAGACAGGTGCTGTAGGAGGACAAGAGTGAAGGCCAGCATTTCCCCTTTCCTCCCTTTTAAGGGCCCTGAAATCTGTGGCTTAGCCCTGCACTGCTGTTTTGGATTTTCCAGTTGGGAGAGGAAGGCGGAGAGTTAGAAGAGGAACTCTGGGTCAGGGGCCTGAGCTCTCCACAAGGAGGAAGTAACTGCTAAAATGTAAGGAAAGAAAAACTATGGAAGTCGGCAGACACTCAAGCTGTGAAATTCAGCTTACCCACAAAAGAACATTTCTGTATTATTAACAGTCAGAATCGTGTGGAAAGGGCCACCACAAAAATCTGCTTTCCTACAACAGAATTCTAATCAAATAAGGCAATGTAGAAGTTGAACTACCCTCCTGTATAGCAAATAAATATTACATAGATGAAAATATACAGAAAGATGGAATATTAGAGTACAATGAGGATTGCCCTTGGCTTGGCTTGGGGATCTTGTTGTTGGGATGGAACCATCCGGGACGGGTTTTTGTTTTGTGGGGCGTGTGTGCGTGTGTGTGTGTTTACCTTTGATGGAGCCTGCAAGATAAGCCTTTCGGGCGTCAAAATCCTTGCTAAGGAAAGAGCCATTTTCTTCACTCTGGCATATCCCCTTTGTGAGTACTGCAATATAACTCTCCATCATTTTAACTGGGCTCCCATGTTTCAGGTACATTCTGTAAGAAAAGACAAAAAACAACCATGCTTTTCTATGGCATGAACCACACAGAGCAATGCGCCCAAGGCTGGGCATGGGTACTTCCTAAAAAATCTAAGTCAACCTGCTGATAACGCTTCTGCACGCCTGAAACTTTTTATGACATGACTACTTCTATAATTTAATTCGATAATGTACTGAAAAAACAACCATTCAAGAGACCTCCAACAACTCCCTCAAGCTGGCTTTCTCCTTCCATCTCTATAGCCCACTGGAGCAGGAGAGTAAGCTAAGGACTTTCTAAGGACTCATTTCTCTTTTCTTCTTTTCCCTAAGTTTTATTTTTTAAGTTTATTTATTTTGAGAGAGAGAGAGAGAGAGCATGTGCACACCCGCACAAGTCAGAGAGGGGCAGAAAGAAGGAGAGACAGAATCCCAAGCAGGCTCCACACCATCAGCACACAGCCTGATGTGGGGCTTGAACTCACGAACCCATGAGATCATGACCTGAGCTGAGATGCTTAACCAACTGCACCACCCAGGCGCCCCTGAGGGCCCACTATTCTTAAAAAAAATATTGCATTTTTATCTGTCTTATATTCACAAATGGTGCTTCTAGCCATAAGGACTCTATCATTGCTGGGATTTCCTTTGACAAGAAAGGAGTTTTACACATTGTTCACAGAGAAAACAGTAATTATAGAACCTATATTTATTATCAGAGTTCCCAGAGGTAACTATATTTAGATAATTAAGAAATCAAACTCCTTTAAGTTTCTGGTGGTAAGTATACACTAGATATATTCATCATCAAGTTCTAGAAAACGCTGACAGGAAACTGCCTACATTTATAGCTCACATGTGAAATCAGTCTCTTCCCCTGAAATCTCTTCCTGTGAGTAACTAAATCTAAATTTTGCATGAGAAGCAGGACTGGGCCTACTTGAGCCTTTTAGTAGCTAAATGGATTAAAAAACTGGAAAGAAAATAAAATTATTGTTTAAAACAGATCATTTGAGGGATACCTGGGTAGCTCAGTCAGTTAAGCGTCTGACTCTCAGTTTCGGTTCAGATCATGATCTCACGGTTCGTGAGTCTGAGCCCCTCGTTGGGCTCTGTGCTGACAGTGTGGAGCCTGCTTGGGATTCTCTCTCTCCATCTCTCTCTCTTCCCCTAACCCACACATGCTCTATCTCTCTCTCAAAAATAAACATTTAAAAAAAAAAAAAAAGATTTAAAAAAATTTTTAAAAATAAAATAGATCACTTGAAACTGTATTTATTGTGGGTTAAGTGAAAAAAGCAAGTGTTGTAACTACTAGCCAGTCAGTGTTTTTAAATTACTTCAATGCACAATTGAGGGAAAGAGGTAGAGAACAATGAATATGGTAAGCTATCCTACATGTAAAATAGTCAAACCCATGAACTCATACACATGCTTCTATATGGAGAAAATATCTCCGGTATGATATAAAGAAAACAGCCCCAGGAGTGCCCCGGGGTGGGGGTCGGGAGGCAGATTTGAAGGCTAGGAATAGGGAGAGGAAGGGACCTAGTTTTCACTGTATACCCTTCTGTATTGTCTGTATTTTTTTCCTGTGTGCTTACGTTACCACCACCAAACAAACAAACAATATACCATTAAAACTGTAAAATAGATGGGCACCTGAGTGGCTCAGTCAGTTAAGTGTCCAACTCTTGATTTCTGCCTAAGTCATGATCTCACTGTTTGTGAATTGGAGGCCTGCATCAGGCCACATTGTCAGTGTGGAGCCTGCTTGGGATTCCCTCTCTCCCTCTCTCTGCCCCTCCCTTGCTCACGTGTGTATGCGTGCACACACACACACTCAGTCTCTCTCTTTCTCAAAATAAATAAACTTAAAAAAAAAAAAACAAAAAAACCTGTGAAATAGAAACAATATACAGTAATGGAAAAGAGAAACACAGGAAGGGTAGTAGGATAAGATCACTTTTTCCATAACAACCCTGGGCCATGAACTACTGACAGAAGGAAGGGTCCCCCCAAATCATTCCATAGGAAAACCACAAAGTGCAACCCAGGGGACCTTACTCAGATGGGACAGCCGGAGGCTGTCACACCTGGCCCGGACAACTGGTTCCAAGTGAAACCCTGGTTCTCTACCACAGCCACTAGCTGGAGGCTCCAGAAGATGAAGGGGGTCGTAGCAAATGACCTGGATCCCACACAGGGAACGAACCCCCTCGTGTGGGCTTCTGCTGCCACTGTGAGCAGCGTGCTATGGAAGGCACGCCTGCCTGTCCCCTCCCCAGAAACAGAAGGGAGCACCTCCATGGTAAGCAGCAGCATCGAAAAGTGTTGGTCTATGTACTTGTGCACACAGACATGTGTTAGTGGGGAGAGGGAGTGTGTGCGTGTGCAAGAGCATATGGGTATGTACACATGCAAGGGTAAGTGCAGTAAGGTGCAGGGGGCAGAAGAGATGGCTGCCAATAGCTCTCAGTCCTCATTTCTCCTAAACTGTGACAGGAGAAGAGTCCAGAACCCAACAATGCCATGGCACTACAGAAGCTGAGGAACCTTCCAGCTTCCTCCCGGGCAGGAAGTGGAATCTAAAGCAATCTTAAATTTTGAGCCCAAGAATATTTCCCAGTGAATTCACTGGGAAACCTAACCCTGACTCAGTCAAATGAAATGGGAGTCCAACGTTTGTTCAAAAGCAGCTTTACAGTGTTTTTAGCTCATGGCTTCTAGATAGCGTCTCTTCTCACAACAATAATCTCCCTTTGTGTCAGTGCCATGGTAGCAGACAACTGTTTATATTCCACAATGAACCATATACCTGGGACTTATCTTAAGAGAGCAAAAAGGTTTTCTTATCATAGCTGGCTGCAAAACAGTAAAACTTCATTCTGTCAAAATACAATCTACCTGAAACCCTTAAGTAATTAGAAAGTAGTCTTCTGCTACGTGGAGATAGATATATATAGATAGATAGATAGATAGATAGATATAGATATAGTTATGGATATAGACATATACATATAGATAGCCAGAGATAGACAGCATGTGTGTGTACACATAAAAATGGCAAAAAGGCAACCATTCATCAGGCTTATAGCGAGGAACACAAAACAACTCCCCTTGCCCCCCACCCCATCTAAAACAACTTACTGAGCATAAGCCTGAGGGCTGATGTTGTAATACATAACCTCTAGAATTACAATTCTATCTAGTAACAACAATATTAAAAAAAAAAAAAAAATCTAAAACCCTGTCAAAGCCCTGATTGAGGAAAAAACTAATTTCCCCAACATACAAGAAAGGTTTGATTAACTCCACTATATACGCTCACCAAGGCAAGAAAGCAAACTGGTATATTTTACATAAAATTTTTCAACAGCTGGGATGAAACTAAAGAAGTTTACCTGAATCACTATTAACCAATTAATCAGATTCTCAGCTTCCCAGCATTCCAGCTAAGAAGTATTTTCCTGAGTTTTTGCATAATTCAAAATGCTCGTTAACTTTCCCCAAAATGACTCCCCCACACAGACCTTGACACGTATAAACTAGCTTACCACTTCGCCAGCACTTAATTTATCCGTCCTGCTAAGGAAAGTTCTAGATTGGAAGTGAGCAGAAGCTGTCAGGCCAAAAGTAGCAAGTGACTCAAATACCCAAGAACTACAATGGTTGTGTAAATTGCTTTTCCTCCTCCCTTCTACCATTTTCCCAAATAAGAGCAGTGTCATAAAAGCAGAAGAGAAAGTTCCTCTTACAGAAGTTTCCAGAGGGCCAGTAAAGATTAAGTTGGGGAAGCAGAGGGCTGAAATTTGCTTCCTCCGTGTAGAAATCTGCTATGTAACTACCGAGCAAGATCTTCATTTTTGTAGGATAGCATTTAATACAGTTTTCATACAGACCTACACAATATCCTAGTGAAGGCGGCATATTTCTCTGGATTAAAATCTTTGGCGGTCAGAACAATAGAAAAATGAGTCACCTGTCCAAAAGAAACAAAAAGTATACTTTTTAAAGACACTTTCACAGATTTAAATTTTATTACCACATTCTAGCAAACCTCTTGTACAAGACATAACAGCATTAAAAAGAAAAGATCAAAACGTAACCAAGTTCTCACTTCCTTGTTTATACTTTTATGTTTATATACACACATATAAAAGATACGTACTTATATATACCTATATATTTCATTTCTTAGATAAGAATGTAGTACTTTTAGAGTTAACATCTTTTCAAAAACACAAATATATTTCAAATATCAAAAATGTGAGTTTTCATTTAAAGTACTCTAACCTCATCAAAGCAGAATTAGAAATGTCATATCAGATCTACCAATTTATCAACTCTTAATTAATGAAAGAGGATACAAAACAACAAAAATACACACAGTAAGATCACACAGTTCCTGAAATAGTCAATGCTCTACAGAATGCCATATAATCTCTGTAGAAAGCACACTGTAACAATAAGCTTCATTTGTCTATACTCCTCTATTATTATAAATATAAATTTCTCCTAATCATATACCTATTATTCCCATTAATGAGATAAAATTCAGGACTTTATAAAAGGCAAAGCATTTAAGAAATACATTTTTAGAAATCATATTCTTAAGTATAAGAACCACCTCTAAATCTTGTCATTTTTCAAATCTGAAAAGCAGATTTGAAATCGATGTTGCTGCTATTGGCATTCTATGGAACAAAACACAGATAAACCTATTCAACACATCAAGACTTTTCAGCAAGAACTTAATGAACATAAACCAAAGATTTTATAACACATTGAAAACTATCTTTTTGCAAATTTACATTTTCTAATTATGAATCTGTTTTGTTTTAAACCTCTAACAGTTTTAAACTGTTGCCTTCTTGTTATTTTAAAAGTAACTCCTTAAATTTAAATTGATATCTTGGACATGTTTCATGATTATTGGCTATAAAAGTAGCCCTAGATGGTAAAAGAAGTCCCCACACAGGCACACACCAGGAGCTTCGTCACTTTCCAATATTTCTTTATTTGAAAAAAAAACAAAAAACAAAAAACAAACCCTGCTGGTTACTTGGAATTAGAAAAGCCCACAGTGACCACATACTGGTTTTCAACATGTCACATTGATACTGTTCATATCAAATGACACACACACAAAAGCCTACTTAATACATGTTTCCTTAACTCTCCTTTCTATTCCTAACATATCCTTACCATCCATAAACAAATGAAAAAAAGTTTTCTTAATTATATCAAGGATAATTTTATCTTTAAAAAAAATTTTTTGGGGTAAGGGGCATTAAGGAATCTATTCCTGAAATCATTGCTTCACTATATGCTAACTAATTTGGATGCAAATTTAAGAAAATAAAAAAATAGGAGCGCCTGGGTGGCTCAGTCGGTTAAGCGTCCGACTTCAGCTCAGGTCACGATCTCACGGTCCGTGAGTTCGAGCCCCGCGTCAGGCTCTGGGCTGATGGCTCAGAGCCTGGAGCGTGCTTCCGATTCTGTGTCTCCCTCTCTCTCTGCCCCTCCCCCGTTCATGCTCTGTCTCTCTCTGTCTGAAAAATGAATAAAACGTTAAAAAAAAATTTTTTTTTAATATTTATTTATTTTTGAGCGGGGAGGGGAGGGAGACACAGAAGGAGAGACGGAGACACAGAATCTGAAGCCAGCTCCAGGCTCTGGGCTGTCAGCACAGAGCCCGACACAAGACCTGAAGCCACTGAGGTGTGAGATCATGACCTGAGCCAAAGTCGGACACTCAACCAACTGAGCCACCCAGGCATCCCAAGGATAATTTTATCTTTTAAAATGGTTTTGGGGGTGCCTGGGTGGCTCAGTCAGTTGAGCTTCTGGCTCTTGACTTCGGATCAGATCATGATCTTGTGGTCTGTGGGTTCCATCCCCATGTCAGGCTCTGCACTAACAGTGCAGAGCCTGCTTGGGATTCTCTCTCTCTCCTTCTCTCTACCCCTCCTATGCTCTGTCTCTCTCTCTCAAAACAAATAAACTTAAAACAAACAAACAAACAAACAAACTTAGGGGCACCTGGGTGGCTCAGTTGGTTAAGTGTCCAACTCTTGATCTTGGCTCAGGTCATGATCTCATGGTTTGAGTTTGAGCCCTGCACTGGGCTCAGCACTGACAGTGTGGAGCCTGCGTGAGGTTCTCTCTCTGCCCGTCCCCTGCTCAATCTCTCTCAAAATAAATAAACTTAAGAAAAAAAAAAAACTTAAAATGGTTTTTAATTATGGACAAATGCTTCTTTCCACTTTTAATTGGTCACGACTTTGCACGTCTACATTTCTACTCCATCAGAGTATAACCCAGAAAGGACTTCACTACACCAGCCATAGGGTCAGTCAATAGAATGTACACCAACCAATATTCATAGAATGAATAAGAATGAAATTTGAAAGGGGACATTCCCAGTGAAAAGCATATCTGGTATTTTTCAAAAGCGTATTGTGAGCAATAATGTCTAAAGCTAAGAGTCACTGGAATAATGTTACGTCACTTTAAATATTTTTGGTTGTTAGACCTTCATGCAGTCATACCTTTATCAAAACTGAAGAATCTGGAACTTCAACTGTTGTGATATAAAACCATGTTCTTCTGTACTGACCAAAGACGAAGGGATGGAGAAGTTTGTTTTCATCTGTAAGGCAGCATTTTCTCAGCAGTAAATTCCTTAAAGTAGCTGTCGTGGAGGGATAACACCACACCCACAGAACTTCTCCATTTGTGTCCTTTTCTACGGTGGAAAGATGGTCACTGTGAGAATGTCAAACAGCAGCAAGGAAGTGAATTGATTGGTTACTCAGAAGCACTTAGTGGAATCAGTTTTCACATCCCATTTTACAAAGCATCCCGGAGCATGTGTGACCCCAAATTCCCATCCACCTCTGCTGGTCCAATTATGCAGCTCTCCTGATCTTGAGTTTTAGGCCACCTGAGTAAAAACCTTTTACAACAAATCATGAATGAAAACTTAAGGGGCACCTGGGTGGCTCAGTCAGTTAAGCATCCGACATTGGCTCAGGTCGTGGTCTCACGGTTCGTGAGTTCGAGCCCTGCATCGGGCTCTGTGCTGACAGCTCAGAGCCTGGAGCCTGCTTCAGATTCTGTGTCTCCCTCTCTCTCTGCCCCTCCCCTGCTCATGCTCTGTCTCTCTCCCTCTCTCAAAAATAAATAAACATTAAAAAAATTTAAGGAAAAGAAAATCTGAGCCTTAAATTTGGCAGAGTTCTTTCCTATCTCCTCTCACACAAATTCATAAACTCAGCGTTACGTTTTGTTTTAATTTTAATTAAAATTAAATTTTAATTTTTAAATTTTTTTTAAGTTTATTTATTTTGAGAGAGCAAAGAGAAGACAGAGTGAGAGCAGGGGAGGGGCAGAGAGAGAAGGAGAGAGAGGGTCTCAAGCAGGCTCCACGTTGTCAGTGGAGAGCCCAATGTGGGGCTCAATCTCACGAACCTTGAGATTATGACCTGAGTTGGTCACTTAACCAACTGAGCCCCCCAGGTGCCCCCTCAGCATTACATTTTTATCAGTTAGAAGGATCTTTAATAAATACACAGGAAGTGTTTGTCAAAAACAAAACTGGAGATGATGAAAATGGTGAAATTTCTTTTAAATCATGTTATATACTGATTGTATAAATTCTACATTTAACATTGTAATAGTAATAATAATAATGTAATAACAATAGTAATAATAATAATGGTTATCCTGTCACATAATGTAGTTTCCTCATCACAGTAAACACCTCAATAACCTAGCCTAAGCTTTGGAAAAAGAGTTACTGTGCATATAGCAGTATGGATGCAGATTTTTGTTATGGAAAATATCAAGCTCATAAAAAAATGAATTCCCGTCTCCATCATTCAGCTCCAGCAATTATCAACACCTGGTCCCTCCTTGTTTCTAATGGTCCCCCTCCCGCATTATTTTGAAGCAAATTCCTTTTAAATCCGTTTCCATACGAAAAATAAAAATCTGAATTGAAAATATGATTGTAAGTCATCTTCGTCTTTGCCGTTACCAGATAAAGTCAGAATTTAACCTAACCTTATTCACAAGTACCCTCAAGCAGGACTAAGATGCTTGAAGTACTTAGGTTTTGTTTTGAAGCAGTTCTAAAACCACATTAAAAATAAATACAGGGGAAATAAAAAAAGAAACACAGGAAGCCATTCCCAGATAAATGCACTCCTTTGAGACACTGAGAAATAATCAGCACAGTTAGCCAGTTTTGCTAAACGCAAGCAACCGTTCTTCCACACTAGAGGAATAGAATGTTATCTCAATGGAGTATTACTTCAAAGGTCAACGGCACGCAGGGAACCGACAGACGTTCATTCAAGCAACCCGCGGCCGCCAATGGGATGAATGGTTCCTTGAAACACCCAACCCTAAGACACTGCACACGGCTCAGGCACACCCAAAGATCCCAACGTACTTCCTCAACCACCAATTCCTCAAATCTAACCGGGATCCCGCCATACATGATTGTGTAGACACGCCGGCTACGTGCGTGAGCTCTATCACATGATACAGGATTCCTCCACTGGTGTGAGTTGGGGCTCTGCGGCTAGACCGCAAGGGTCCCAACCCTGGCTCCGCCGCTTCCTAGCACACGTCCGTGCGCAAAGCACACCCTGGGCCTCCATCTGCTTCTCCGAAATGTGGTCACCAAACATTACCCACACCCCCTGGAGCCGTGGTAGAAGTTTAACGGGAGATAATCCATGCATAATGCTCAGCACTCGGGGCTGGCACAGTTGGTCACGGTGACTCGAACTGCTCAATCACATAATCGGGGCCAGCCGGCGCCGGGCAGGCAGTCACGCGTGCCTCCCGCACGCTCCGAGGTCTCCCCGCCGCCTCCCCCCACCCCGCACCGCCCACTA